AAGATGCATCTTAGCTCTGGAAATTGTTATTGAATATGTCAATGCTGTTGTAATGAAATGCTTCTTCTAAGTATGTGGCTATTAAATAATTTTAAAAAAAAGAAAAAAAGAAAGAAATCCCAAGACTGAGAAGGAAGTTACAGGGGAGAACCCTGGGGCTCCTTGGCCAGATAGATCCACTCACATAGTGAGTTTCAGACCAGTGAGAGACCCTGACGAAAAGGAAGGAGGGATGGAAGGAGGGAAGGAGGAGGGTGGAAGGAGTGAGGGAGGGAAGGAGAAGGAAGGGAGGGGGGAAAGGGAGGGAGGGAGGAAGGAAGGAAAAGGGAGTGGTACCTGAGGAATGGCACCTTAGATTGTCTTCTGTCCTCCACCAGCACTGGTACACACACCCACACCATGACATGCACCCCTCCCAAACACAAGTCACTTAAGATACTCCAGAATCCTAAGAGAGAATGTGTCTAACTGCATTATCAGTAATTGAAACATCCTGAGAGCATGAGATGAGAAAGACACTGACCTAAGTACTCCACAATGAAATGAATGGAGCAGAACTGAGGACTAGGCCCAGGCACGTGGCTCCCAGGGTAGAGACACTTGTCACCAAGCCTGACAAGCTGAGTTCCATGCTCAGAATTCAGAGGATGGAAGAAGAGAACCAGATGTTCTCCTCTGACCTCCGCATTGGACACCCACACTTATGCACAGAGAGAGAGAGAGAGAGAGAGAGAGAGAGAGAGAGAGGAAAAGAGGGCCAAGCTTGAGCTTATAGAGGAATAGGCACATCTGTTCAGGCTTGCCTGCCACCTACCCACCTCACAACAGACTTTCAGCTGGACACGTGCACACATTATCATGTGGCAGGCAAGAGTTTTCAGCCCATTCTGCACATGGGAAAAATTCATCCCAAAGATATTCCGTGGTTGGTCCAGTCAGGTAGCAAAACCGGATCAGGATTCAGATCTGTGAAGCCCCAGCCTGTCCCCTGTCTCCTTTCCTACCTACAGAGATATGCCTTCAGGGAAGATAAGCTGTCCACACAGTAGGTGAATTCTGTCCTAATGGCTATGGCCATCATTACAGAGCACCTTTGAGGGCAGCTCTTCACAGACTCTTACAACCCTTTTAGGAGGAATATCATTACCTCTCTCTGTTTATGAAAAGGGCTTTGAAATTTGGAGTAATCATAAGTCGCTCAAGGTGGTCAAAATGGTTTTGTTTGATTTTCTTTGGACAGTGCTAGGCATGGAACATAGACCCTTGCACACACCAGGTAAAAACTCTACAAATAACCTATGTCCCTAGCACAAAAAGCATGGATGCTTTAGCTCAGGGTGACCCTCAACTCAAAGATCCTCCTGCTTCATCCTTTTCATCATATGCCTACTGGCATGGGCCACCATGGGCAGGATTAAATCCATGTCCCCCACTCCTTCAGCCATGTTCTACCCCTTGCTCTGCTTGGTCATCCACATGTCCAGCCCAGCACCATGAGAACTGCAGGGCCTGTCCCTCAGGTACTCACCCACAACCTCCAGCCTGTCCCTCAGGTACTCACCCACAACCTCTAGCCTGGTCTTCCCTTCTGCCTTTTCAGGGGTGACCACCAACTTGCATCGGTATTCTCCTGCCTCCCACAGTTGGACCCCAGGCAGCTGGAGGGAGGCGTCGCCCCTCTCCAGCCCCAACCTTGACACCATGGCTCCAGGTCGTAACGCCTTTAGGTGATTTCCATAAAGCTCAAACACTGTGACCTCAGATTCATTCTTCTGAAGCCAGACGATTCCCATAGTCTTGGTGTCCAGGTGTGGGGAACCAGGGACTTTGCAGGGTATGATGACGTTGTCATTCTGGGATACTAGCTGTGTCCCCTCTGCCATCTCCACTTCCAGAGCACCTGCGGCATTAAGAGAGCTCAGTTATGGGAGGCCCTGGGTACTCAATCACTGGGTAAGTGGGGGTGAAGATGGTTCTCACTTTACAGCCCCTTGTCAATCCCCATGGGTCCCCCAGCCCTGTCCTTCCTCTTCAGGCTCCTATGGGTCCCTTGCAATCCCATGTGCACTTTAGAATCATCGATTTCTTTAATTTATAAAAGTTACATTTATTTACTTATCTATTTATCGTCTCTGTCTAGATCTGTGCGTATGAATGTGCGTATGAGTGTGTGAGTGTCGTGGCACTGGTGTAGAAGTCAGAGGACACTTTTGCAAGTTAGTTCTCGCCCACCATGTGCACTCCAAGTTCAAACTCATCATCAGGCTTAGCAACAGTTGCCTTAACCTGCTGAGCCATCGCCTCATCCTTGGCTTATCAATTTCTACAAAGAAGTCAGTTGATCTTCTGCTAGGAATTATACTGACCCTGTAGATCCATTTTCATGTACTGCAATCTTTACCATGTTACCTTGTCAATCATGGCAATTTTGAGGATGTGCTATGGACCGAATGTCCTCGTCCACAGTGATCCCATTGACCACATTGAGGCTGAACCGCCACTGGTCAGCTCTGGGTCGTGATCATGTCAAGGGGTTTCAGCCTTCTAGATGGCATTAGAGCCTATATTTGAGAAGAGAGAGATCTCTCCTATTCTGCCATGAAGACATATCATGAATTTATTCTAGAAGCTTAACCAACCGGCCCTTCATCTTTCACTCCCAAGCTGGAGAACTAAGACCACTGCAATGTCATCATGAGGTAAAAGCAGTCCCTCCTGGTCTCATAAAAACGTCAGTAATGGCGCCTGGATGAGACCCTGGTGGTGTTGCCCTCCTCCAACTCATCCCCTCAGCTCCAGCATCACGGGCGAAGGAGCGAGGCAGCAATGCAGATGCCACCAAGGCGGACTCCACACAGCAGCCCTTCAGTGCGCAGCTGTGAATCAGTCAGTGGATCTGCACTTTCTACAAGAGTGCTCCCAGTCCAGGTGAAGTACGGTGTGGCATACACAACCACAGCACTGTGAGGCCCCATCAGAGCTCACCAGGGATGACTGGCGCCATGGTAACCTCCCCTCCTCCCATCCATCCACCTCCTACCTGCAGTGGACATGCACCATAGCAGCAGCAGCAGCAGCCACAGCAAATTCCAAGCCATGCAGCCATCCTGATGCGTTCCCTTCCACCCCTCAGCTCTGATTTGGACAGGCTCACTCTGCCCTCCACATTTCCTGGCAGTGCGGAGGGTGTAGCCAGTGAGCTTCCGGAGCCCTACTGCACAATAGCCAGACAGTGGAGTGGCACGGCCCACCGCAGTGCATTTGCACTTTCTCCGGATCCTTCTGGCATCTCGGAAAAGTCCACTTGCCATGCGCAGCTGCACTGGCAATTCCATGTGGCCAGCAGTGCAGCTGAGGAGGGTCCTCAGGGCCCGGGGTTGGGGGCACCACAGGTGCACCTGTGTCCTGGACGTCTGCCACACAAAACATGTTCAGGATGAGTAAACAAAGCAAAGTCAGACAGTTTCTCAGGCAAAAGACAAGAAGTTCTTAAGAATAATTGCCCGGGTTCACCCAGGTGCCTCAGCACTAGCTATATGTGTGACTGGCCCCTTCGAAGCTATTTATTCCGCAATTGAGTACACATTGGAAGAAGATGGGCCGCTCTATGCCTCGGTCTTATCCACAGTATACTGTCCTGGAGGAGGACTTAGCTTACTTGGTAGTGTTTGCCTAGCATGCAGGAAGCCCTGGAAGGTTCTAAGGCTTTAACCAGTTTTCTATAGTGTGGTGATATGTGCCTTTAATCCTACAACTAAGGAGGTAAAGGCAGGAGGATCAGGAGTTCATGGTCATCCACAGCTACATAGCAAGTTCTAGGCCAGCCTGAGGTACATGAGAGCCTGTCTTTAAAATAATAATAATAACACAAAAAAAAAACCTTTTTACTAAATAGGCTAAGAGCCTCATGAGTTTGAGCCCTTGGAGACTTACACTGGCCAAACAGCCAGCCAGCGCCAGAAAGACAACTCACTCTAAGACATTCACCAGCAAAATAATGAGATGACCCTTACCCTTCAGAATTGGGTCCCACCCAGATGTCCAACCTGGTGAGGTTTGGGATTCTTCTCCAGGAGCTCAGCCACAGCAGCCTGTGCAGTGTCTTAGAAAATCTTCTCTCCCAGTCCTTCCTCTCCATCCTCTAATCTTCCTCTCTTCCTTTTCTCCTCCTCTCTCCTCTTCCTCCCCTCTACTCTGTCTCTCTGTCTCTCTGTCTCTGTCTCTCTGCCTGTCTCTCTCTCTCTCTCTCTCCCCCCCCCCCCCCCTCTCTCTCTCTCTCCCTCTCTCTCTCTCTCTCTCTCTCTCTCTCTCTCTCTCTCTCTCTCTCTGCCTTCCTCTGTTTCTCACTTTTTCTGCTTAAGCAAGACTAAGCCATTTATTCCTCACAAAAAGTAAAGTCTTGCTACAGGGTGATCTGTAGGTGGCACTGCGGTTGTGAGGGCAGAGGGAGGAAAGAGTGCCTGGTAGTCCATCCCCCTCCTCCAACTCGCCTTTGGCAGGGCCGGGAGAACTAGGATGACGGGTACAACTAGGCGTGGGAAGGTCAGAAGACCCTCCTGGCGCTCTGCCAGCAGCGCGCAGCCTTCCAGGTGCCCAGCCCTGCGGGCGCGCACCACCTGAGGCGCCTGCTCTCCCCATCCCGGGCCCACCCCTCTTGTTTCTTTTTTTCTTTCTTCCTTTCTTTTTCATTCTTTTTTCTCTCTCTCTCTCTCTTTCTTTTTCATTCTTTTCTCTCTCTCTCTCTCTCTCTCTCTCTCTCTCTCTCTCTCTCTCTCTCTCTCTCTCTCTCTCTCTCTCTCTCTGCCTTGCTCACGCTCTCTCTCACTCTAGTTCTCTCTTGTTCTCTCGGCTTTAAATCTGCAGTTGCCTAGTTGTTCTTTGGTAACTTCCTTTACCTGCCACAGACCACCTGACATCCCCACAAAGGCAAAATAAAAAGCTAAAGCTAATGATAATTGTACTAAGCTAAAAGCAAACCTTCACTCTGGAGGACTTCTGGATTCTTCCCTCTGGACTAGAGGAAAAAGTCACCACACGAGGAATTTCCATCCGGGTGTAGGTCAGGCTTCCTCTGGATTCTCCAAGGTCGGAATGGTGTGCTTTCCCGGCTTGCTTACCAGCACTTGCCAAATCTGTCCGCCCTGTCCACGCTATCTTCTAGAAATCTCAAGGTATCAGTCCCATTCCAGAAGTCATCTGCTGGGGATTCCCGCCTCAGAGATCCTGTCACTCCTCCAGCTGTGGCCTGAGGCTGGCCCCGCCTCCGTGCCAGCCCTGCTTCCTCCTAGGCCAAGCTATGACTCACTGGAAACCGATAGGCATTGCTGCTGTTGCCTGAGTCCTAAGTAACCAAGGCTGCTTGGTCCTGCAGGGCAGGAGTGGCTCCTGTTCTGCAAGAACACACTGCAGAGCTCTCTTCCTGGGCACACCCTCTCCCAGCTCGGGGTGTCTGTGGGCCTGCTGGGCTCCTGACTGTGCCCTCCACTCTTTTCCTCTCTCACATCTTCCTGTTTTCCTCTCCTGAAGACATTGTGGTTGGAAGTGGGACCATGCTCCATCTAGACTGATTTCCTCCTGAGATCGTTCATTTAATCACATCTGCAAAAACCCTTTGTCCCTTGAGGCCACGTTCCCAGTTTCCACATTTGTGGTTCACTGCCCCATCCATACAGGGCTTGTTTCCCTTACCGGACTGGCCCAACACCATGCCTTCCTTCCTAGAACTCATTATGTTTTAGGCGCTGTCCTCCACTGACCTGGAGCCTTGGATGCTCCTGCACATGTGGGCGGGAGTTGAGGGAACCAGTACCTTGGTGAAGCTCTGACTGGCATGGCAAGAAAATAAAACTGCTGTCTTCTCCCTTCTCTGAATTACGGCTGAGTTCTTAATCTGTGGACTTGCAGCCCGCCCCCTCCTTAGGTAGTGCAGCCCTCCCCGCCTCCTCATATGGTGCAGGACCCCCCCCCCCAAACACAGACAGTAACTAAGGACAAGGATTGTGTCCTCTTATGAAGACAGCACTAACAGGGACCCACTCTTCTACCTTGGGAACCGTAAGTGCTTTAGGGTGAAAGCTGTTCAGAACTAGGGCTGGAAAGATAACTTGGTGGCTACTCTTGTGGAGGACCTGGGTTCAGTCCCCAGAACCCACATGGCAGGTAACAACTGACTGCAACTCCAGTTCCAGGGGATCCGACAGCCTCTCCTGGCCTCCGTGGGCATTGCATACATGTGGTGCACTTACATACATGAAGGCAAAACATTTGTATACATAATTTTTAAAAAACCAATCAGAACTGATAATAAGGTACAAAAATAAATCTCAGTCTCTGGACATGGAAGACAGGCATCGACATTCTCTAATCTCTGAGGTACCTGTGAGATACAGGGAAACCTGCTTGCAAACCAGCACCTCCACAGTCCCTGGGGAGGCTAGAATCAGGGGCTGGATGATGTCCCTAGGAATGCTGGGGACAGGTTCTGTCACTGGTACAAGTCCTCTAAGGCCCCAGGCTCTAGACTGTCGTGCCTGTGGTTTGCAAACTGCAGTCTTCAACACCACCCAATTTGTCTTTTTCTTCAGATTACAACCAGAAGTTGACAGTGAAGCTTAGTGGCAGAGCGCTGGCCCAGCAAAGGCCCTGGGTTCCATCCCCAGAACTGCTGAGAAAAAAAAGAAAAAAAGAGGATGCGCTGAGGAGATGGTTCAGAGGGTGAGGCACAGTGTGAGGACTGGAGTTCAGATTTCCAGAACCCACATAGAAGGAGGCCCACCTGTCATCCTGCACTCTGGAGGTAGGGGGGGATCTCCAGAGAAGGCCGCTTGCTACACTAGCTGAATTGTTGAGCTCTGGGTTCAGAAAGTGACCTTCCCTCCAAAACTAAAGCAGAGAGTGACTGAAGAAGATACCAACTGCTGCTTCCACACAAACGCACACTTGTACACACACATGCACACGTGCACCCACATGCATGCATACCACATAAACAGTCACATGCAAAAAGAGGAAAAGGAAATTTGCAACAAATACGCATTTCCCTGATTTTAATGTAATTTACAATAAACACATACAAACTGGGGGGATATTTTCCAAGTACCACACTGGAAGAGTTATTGTAACATATATTTATACAACAAATTCAGATGTAACAAATATTGTATAAAATCTCTATGTCTTTGAAATCCATTTATCGATTTGCAACTTTCAAAGCAGTCCAAATACCAAAATAAGCCAAGAAGAATTAAATCTAATCTCTAGGCTAGTAGACCTTTGTTTCCAGTTTTAGAATTAAGGGAACAGTTTTAGTTGCGTGATTATAAAAGGTTATGCATTGAATTCAACATTAGGCTGAAAATATTTCTAAAGTCCCACCCACTAAAACAGTAGTAACAAATAATAGCATTGGAAACACTGACTTTGAAAGAGGATGTGTACCGGATGTGATGGTGCACATCTGCAATCCCAGTTCTAGGGAGGTGAAAGCAGGAGAATCAGGATTTAAGGTCATCCTGGACTACAAAGGGAGTTGGAGGCCAGCCTGGGCTGCATGAGGCCTTGATTCAAAAACAACAAAACAAAAAGGATTTGAAAACCATCACTAAATGATTTCAAAACACAGCAAATATTAATAAAACGCAGCTGTGCAGCTCTGGTCAACAGTTTCCTTCATTAAAAGGTGAAGCAATAATGAAGAATCATTTTTTTTAACTCTAGAAGTTAATTTTTCAGAAGACACTGAATACTGAATGGCCTATTCAAAACTATTTTAGGGACAAGCTTATACAAAACACACATATTCCTAAAGATACAGATTTTCCATTGGCGGCTATATAAATCCACATGTAGAATTTACTGTCCAGATAAGTGTTTTCAGATTTACATGGTTTCTAACTTTCACATGTGGGAACAGATCCTGGACAGAGTTTTAAGTAAAGAGAAAAGATGAAAGGTTAAGAATTGTGAGAGAGTATAAGGGGCCATTTGAATAGCCTGATGATGAAGCTGGTGGCCACTAACCTGAGGCTGACTGAGGAGCTCCGGCATCCTACACTCTCCAGTGATTTGGGAGTTGCATTGAGAATGCATACAGGAACACAGATAACACCATAGAGTGTGCAGAGGGAGAACGTGATGAACACTCAGATCATCTAGAAGCAACAGTACACTAGGCTGCTGAATTTCTAACCAGAAACTGACAGATCCAGGTCTTGGTTTTTCTGTACCAAATAATTTTTTCTTATTAGCTATAGGATGGAATATGTATAGTTGGATATATAAACTGCAACAGCTCATCTTGTGCTTATATTTTTTTAAGCTGTTATTAAGAGAACATTTTCAGGCTCTGGGGAGATGGCTCAGTAGGCAAAGTGCTTGTTGCACAAGCAAGAGGACACCCACATAAGAAGCTGGGCATGTCAGCACAAGCCCAGAATCCCAGCACTAGGAGGATCCAGGGACTCACTGGCCAGCCAGTCTAGCCCATCTGTGAGTGAGTTTGAAGCTCAGCGAGAGACCCTATCTCAAACAGTAAGGGGGAAAGAGATAGAGGGAAACAGCCCAAGTTGACATCTAGCCTTCACACTCAAGTGTGTGCACTCCCACATACATGTGCACACACTACACAAAAATGACAGTAATGTTGCCAAAGATGCTTCAATAACACCATATAAATGTCTGAATTATTAAGGACATGGTAGATGTAACACCTGTGATCCTAGCCCTGGGGAAGGCAGGAGGCTCAATTCTGAGTCATCCTCAGCTGTAAAGCAGGTTTGAGAACGGTGTTGGGTACTTGAGACCCTGTCTCAAAAAGAGGAAGGAAGGAAGAAAGGAGGGAGGTAGGGAGGGAAGGAGAGACGGAAGGAAGGGAGGGAGGGAGGGAGGGAGGAAGGAAGCCAGCCAGGAGTGATGAGGCAAGCCAGTAATCCCAGCACTTGAGAGACAGGCACAGGAGGAGCAAGAACTATGTAGTAAGTTCAAGGTCAGCCTGGGCTACAGGAGACTCTGTCTCAAAACAAATAAATCAATATATCACCACTCCAATGAAGGAGTTAGAAAGTTGTAACACAAGCAAAAAGGGTAAAAAGCAAAGCAAACCCAAGTCACTATATTATCTGAAGGTCACAGGGACCTGGAGGACCACAAAATAGGTACAACCACAGAACACAGAACAAGTAACAGGCTGACCAGGGCTGCATATGTATCCCACACAGGAGCATTTAAAGTGAGATTAGGGATATAATTTAATGACATGTACTCTGACACCACTAAAACTGAACATTTAAAATGGACCAAAATTGAACAAAAATAACATGTTAACCACGGTGATTCATGGGAGATGACAAAGAGAACTAGATAGATGTTTTTCTCTCTAATTTTCAAATTATTTGGATATCATAATTTGAAATCATGTAGAAGATAAACAGCTACTCATGAAAAATTCCATGAAGTACCGAAATTAATGAGAATTGTAAACTAGCCAGGTGTAATTCCAGCACTCAGGAAACAGAGGAAACAGAGGCAGATGAGTTTGAGGCTAACCTGGTCTACAGAGCAAGTTCCAAGCCAGCCAGGGCTACATAGTGTGATCCTATCTAAAAAATCAAACAAACAAAAAAAATTATAAAATAAATGTTTTAACATGTTGAGATAGGTAGATAAATTATAGAAGATTGCTAGCTAGCTAGATAGATGATAGATAGATGATAGACAGACAGACAGACAGATAGATTATAGATAGACATAGATAGATAGATGATAGATAGAGATAGATAGATAGATAGATAGATAGATAGATAGATAGATAGATAGATAGATAGACAGAAAGATAGATGACAGATAGATAGATTCATAAATCTGGAAAGATTGAGACTTGCATTTTAGAGCTCCATCCCTGAGACTACGTGATGCCCCACCATCTTACCCTCAAACTTCCTCAGGTAAAGGGATCTCATCCCATCCTGGATCTGTGCACCCTTCAATCTTGGCAGGATAAGTCACTCCCCACCATCTCAGCTCTTGGCCCACCCTGGGTCTCTGGGATCCTTCCCGTCCCAGACGTACGGTCCTGAACTCTGTCCCTACCACCTGTGCTCTGCATGCCCTGACCTGAGAACTCACACCCTATCCCCAGCCAACCTGCTCACCTAGCAGCTCCATCCCACCCTGCTGATCCATGTCCCTGTGCAGTCAATCCTGAAATCTCAACTCAAACACTGCACCTACCTCTAGTTGAACTGAAACCACTTCTTTCGCTCCAACTGTACATCGACATAACATGGCCCCCAATGAACACCAAGCACTTGTCAGCTGGGTAATAATCTGACAAGTTGTGGGAAACAACAAAGATACAAACAAACATTCATCAAACATAAGATCACACTCACACCAAGAAATACTACCACACAAGTCCAAATGCCCAGAGCT